GTGGAAACTATACGGGAATTCGCGGACTATTTTATGTAAAATATTTTTTATTACAGGAGATGAATACAATTTCAACACTCTACAGTTAGGAATATACCGTATTAAGATATATGTGATCAACTGATGGATAAAAAGATTGCAGTATTGTTTGAATCATCCAATTTTACCCAACTAAATTAAATTTATTAACGACTTTCTTAAACTTTGAAACTTTATGCTTGACATGCATAGTTCTTTAATCAGTTTTTAACAATTTATAATTCACAATCCTGTATTTACATTAAGGTATTAATTAAGGATAATGAAAAACTGTAAATATGGAAATGAATAAAATACAAGAGCGATAAGTAGAAACGAGCACGCCGCATCCACGGTGTCGTCTGCGTCTGCGGCAAAATCGGCCAGAGCGCTATCGGCCGATGTTGGGTGTTTCAATCTACGCCAGAATTGTAACTTAACGTAGCCATATACCGATCGGAAAGCATAAGCCGTAGCTCGTAGAGTACTGTTGGTAATTTTTCACCGCATCGGCCGGCCGGGCCCGTGTCTATATAGGCATTTGACATAGTAAAATAGTTTCTCCCCGGGATGAATTTAAAACATTAAATTGTGTCTTCATTATTAGAAATTAATAGTAATTATTTTTATTTATTTATGTTTATTAATTTTTTAATTTTTAAAAATTATGGTATCAGTCTTTCAAAAATGCTAACAAAAAATTTGGATTTTCAAAAAAAATTGTTTTCTTATTTCTCAAATTATTTGGTACGGCCTGGCCGACCCTGCCGTCCCTGACGAGCCGTCACTGCTGAGGACTGACCTGTACGAAAATGTTTTCTTTTTCTATATTTCGGCACTCTCTCCTACTTACAATCTTAATCCCACCCTTCTATCTGTCTAAGTCTAACTGTTCTTTGATTTTTTTTTTTTTTGAGTTGGTCAACAGGTTGAAAACAAACCCAATGACAGACCAACTAATAACGATGGAAATGCAATGAAAGTAACAAAATTCATGTCAGTAGCTAGAAGATTACTACTTTACCCAGATAGGAAGAGTTTATCTTAACGAAATAATTCCACATCATATAAGTTTGGATTATATAAGGAGCACATTTCATAAATAGGCGAATGTTTTACAATATTAATACGGGGAGTGGCGAGATAAAAATAAAACCGATTACGTGAGGATAACTGTGGGATATAAAATAGTATATTACATACCGAGGCGGGAAGTGTTTCATTATCTTAACCCGTCTGGTGTTCAAATCATCAATGTGAAATATGTCAAGTAAGGATACATGAGGAAATCCTCTAGGAGGGTATTTGCCATCAGCCCTAAACATTAGATATTTTAAAAATCTCCGTTGAATCTTTTCTAAGGAATCAATATAGGTTTTTTGAAAAGGGAACCAGACAACACTAGCGTATTCAAGTTTTGAACGCACGTAAGCGAAATATAAGATACGAAGACAATTTATATCTGTTAGATGACAACCACATCGTATAATAAAGCCGAGAGATTTGAAAGCTTCTAAAGTAACTGCATTAATGTGATTATGAAAAGTGAGTTTCGAATCAAAGATAACACCAAGATCTTTAAAAGTATCAACCCGAGATAAGAAAATGTTATTTAACGTGTAATTGTATAAATATATGTAAATTGTTATTCGTGTAAGACATTATATAGGATTTGTCAAAATTGACAGGAAGTAGATTACCATTACTCCAGTGAAGAAATATAGTAAGGCATTCTGCAGTATAAGACAGTCCTCCATACTAGAAATCGTTTTAAAATTTTTTATATCATTAGCATATATGAGAATGTTGGACTTAATGTTCACAATAATATCATTAATAAAAATCACAAAATAGAGAGGTCCTAACACAGATCCTTGAGGCACTCCGGAGCAAACTTCAACTTCATGGGATTGGTAGCCTTGATATTTAACAATCATAGATCGATTAAATAGGTAAAATCGAATTAATTTCACAAAAGAATCAGAAAGTCCAATGTTCAGTAGTTCAGCTAATAGAATATTATGATTCAATTTATCAAAGGGTTTCGAGAAATCAATGTATGCTCAATTTGTTTCGACTCAAAGGCGTCAGATGCACACAGATTTGTGGTCGTTGATCGGCCATTCACGAAACCATGTTGAAATTCGGTAATTCTATTGTGCAGGGAAAAAAGAAAAATTTTATGTAATACAAACTCAAAGACTTTAGCACAATTGCAAACCAGCGAGATGGGTCTATAATTCTCGACTTTATCCTTTTTGCCATTCTTGGAAATAGGTGATACCACCGACAATTTCCAGGTGTCCGGAAAGGTGCAAGTTTTTAAAATAAGGTTGAATAATATCATTAGAGGATATGACAACGCAAAAGCACAATCAGATAAAAGAAAAGCCGGAATATTATCATGACCAGAGATGAAATTTGGTTTAATCTTTCTCAAAGCACTCAAGCCGTCAGACTCTGAAATGGAAGGTAAATCGATTGTCAAATCGGACATGTGGTCGTATAATCCACTAGGAACAGTGACTGCAGCTTTGTTAAAGTTACAGGTAAAATGTTTAGCAAAAATTTTATTTGAAAATCTCAGTTAGAAACTCCCCGTCTTCATATCCTTTCTCGATCCCGCAGAATTACAGTACAGGGTCAATGTTCTTGACTTCTCTGGACTGTATTCTATTGTCTCTCTGAAGAATCTCACCGATCTTCTTCCTCTGCCTGTCCGAATAGGACTCTATCAGCAGGCCACCAGATCTAAGGGCGATCAAAAGAAAGACTCTGTTTGAGAACCGATTTTATCACACTCCGTTCAGGTATATTATTATTATTATTATTGCAAACTTAGAGCAGAGGCTGGGGCCTGTTATGCTCTCCGAACACATAATGAGCAGCTAGGCATTTACTACTTGTCCCAGAGAGGGTGCTCGATTTGCAGCTAGGGTTTTATTGTGTTTTAAGGAGATGGGTCGTAATCTTATATTGGAATGTAGCGGTGCTGGCGGAATCTACAAATTCAGGATCCAGATTGTTCCACACACTAAATACCCTATTAGACAGAAAATGCTGACGCCATCTGGTTCTGTATCTTTCGTGATATATCTTCATGGAATGACCGCGTACACGTGATGTATCGGATAGGATAAAGATGTTAGCAAGATCTACGCTAAACCGATTGGTCAGTATATTATATGTGCAAACTAGATCATTAAGCATACGACGGTTTCCTAAAGATAGGAGATTTAGTGAGGCAAGCTTATCTGAATAGGGATTCTTCCCCAAATTCTCAATGGTTTCTGTATACCGACGTTGTACTTTCTCAATCTTGCATTGTCGTTGATCAAGCTGGGACACCAAATCACACTGGCCTATTCAAGTATAGGTCGAACGTATGAAACAAATAGGTTTTTGAATAACTCCTTGGTAGGTTTAACAAATGCTTTCTGTAATAGGTAACTGGAAATATTCGCTTTTTTTTACAATACGCGTGACGTGATCTGAGAATTTTAATTTATTGTCGATTATAACACCTCGATCATTAATCTGCTGAACAGATTGTAACATATGGTTATTTAAATTATAAGGCATCTTTACGTATTATTGATATTCCTTGATTTCCTTCATTTCGAAGGCCTTAATACAAAAGACCTTAAGCTTGTCATATAGTGTGCCATTGTTAAAGAATTTAGAGGGATTCCTCGGGGTAACCTCCAAGGGGTTCCAATTCCTGAACTCATCATAGCATGGACACTCAAACAAGATGTGTCGCCAATCTTTACTTGGGCTCCCGCAATCGTATTCCGACGTGTCACATAGGTTTTTATCGAATAGGTAAGCGTTCATCGATCAATGTCCGGTTAGAATAAACAACTCTAAACATGGCGAATAAAAATCTTTATTCTTTACTTGTCTGGGATCCGGAATAAATGAGTATGTTGTTCTACCCTTCTCCGATTGTGTCCAATTTTCGAACCAGATCACACCTAGTTTTTCTCGAATGCTATTTCATTTTTGATTTAACGAGACCCCTTGCAGTTCGTCTTCTCTTACATATCTATTGACGGGAAAATGTTTATTTTTCTTAATTGTGTGGATTATTCCCCTCTCTACCGCCTGCAGGTGCCACGGGAGTTCCCCCAATAGCATTTGCATAGCTTCTGTGGAAACCGTCCGATATACATGCAGAACTGCATATGTGACTGTCCTCTGACATCGGTCTATGGCTTTTTTTATGTATGTTTTTTCAATTTCCGTGTACCACACCTCTGCACCATACAGTATGATTGCCGAGAAGAGTCCACTCCACCAGCTACGGATCGGAGCTAGCGAGGGACCCCATCTCTTTCTAAGGACCCTTTTAAATCGTCCCGTTAACTTAACTAGACGTAGCCTCATATCCTGGAAATGCGGAAGAAAACTCATCTTCTTTGAGATCGTTATTCCTAGATACTTCGTACACTTCTTATACGGTAGGTTTTTAGAGCCATTCCAAATCCATGGCGGTCTGGTGTTGGCAAGTATGCCTTTCAGCAACATGCACACACTTTTATCTTCGGACGCCTTCAATCCAACGCTCTCGACCCATTCCCTAACAATACTCATGGACTCGTTCCCTTTTCTCTCTAGCCCGACTCTATTGACCCTTTTCCTGTAAGATCGTAAAACTTCCCTAGTGACTTTCCGTGCGCACGCATCTTCAAAACCACGTTGGAAATAGTATCCGGCACTCCGGCAGCAGAGCAAAGGCCTGTGACAACAAACCGCTTTGACAGAATGCAACCGGCTACACATGCGTAATCTGTCGCTCATTGGTTAATTTTAACTTGGCGCTCCAAAAAACTGACTTCGCCTGCGCGATGTTGTCTCACTCTGTATCATTGGAATTTATATAATGTCTACTCACTTTGCTTACAGGAAAAGGGTCAATTATTGGATTCTATCATAATCAGTAAGTCATCGGCATACGCGACGCAGATCACATTTTGTCTATCTAATTGGCGTAGCAGGGTATCCATTACTAGGTTCCAGATGTTTGGCCCGCAGATCGACCCTTGCGGGCAGCTTCTGCTAACCCCCCTTTTCATAGACTGCGTATTGCCTTCCAAGGTAACTTTTCTTTGTCTGAAGTAAGAGTTCCAGAGCATTACATCTCTTGATCCTATCTCAACGAGTCTTCTTAATATGGAGTTCCAACTGATGTTGTCGAAGGCGCCTGAAAAGTCTATGAAAAGGCCCGAAACATATTAATGAGGACATCCGCGAACACGGTCTACAACTGTCATCCAAGCATCTACGGTTGATTTGCCTTCTCTAAATCCACACTGAGTTGGGAATATGACCGCATCGTTATCGAGACAGTCTTCCTGTAACCGGTCTGTCATTACTTTCTCCAAAACCTTGCTCCAAGCAGAGTAGACAAATTGGCCTATACGATTTCGCCAGGTCCTTTGGCTTATCCGAAGCTTTCAGAAGAGTTATTACCTTTACCTACTTCCAATTATCCGGGAATGTACCGTCTTTTATACAGCGCTGCAGCACTGCCCTTAAGAACTCTGGAACTGCCCTATGGAATTCCTTCACGATGGAACCAGTAATCCCTTCCAACCCGATGCTTTTTGACTTCTTAGTTTCTTTACGGCCTCTGCCACCTTCTCAGGCGACAGACAGCTCCTCTATCGGCAAATTTCCATTCAAATTTTCAGGATAATCCACATCTAATGGTCTATGTTCTCCGAAGAAGGCGTTGAGCAATGTCTCAGCTGACTCCCTCCAGGTTCCAGAGATTGTATCCCCTGACTTTATAGCTGCTATTTCCCTTGCACGCCGTCGACCTCTGCAAGTTTTGTAGACGTCTCCCCAAGGATCTTTGCCGTGCCTTATTGTCATATGTACAAAGTCTCTCCAATGATCGAACTTGGCTTTTCTTAATTCGTCTGTATACCTCCGGCTAGCCACCCTCCAACTCCTCTTAATTTGTTCAAATTCTTCTTCGTCAGCTCTTAGCATACCACTTCCATTAGCCCTATTTCTTCGTTTTGTTTGGTACGCACGTCGGAGACGACGAACTTCCCTACGCTGCAGTCAACTGAGGTGTCCACCAGCGTACACGCAAATCTCTTAGGCACAGTCACTTGGCATGGTTCCTGTACCCAAGTATCTACTGTACGACACATTTCTACAAGAGGCATCCGTAGAAAATCATCTAACCCAAGGGAAACAGCGCTGCTTAAGATACTATACCGAAACGCAATCTTCTCTTCCTCACTCCTCAGACAGTAAGTTCTTGTGACCACTGTTTCATCCTGTCGCAAATTGTCGTCAAGATCTCTCGTTTTCAGCCCTATGAGTATAGGATTATGATCGCTAACACCGAGGTCGGGTCTTACGCTCCACTCCCAAAGAAAAGATTGTTCCAAGGACAGATTCGCCAAAGTAACATCAATGTCACTCGAACCAGACGTCAATATATCGCCTCTTAAGTCTCTCTCTCTCAGGTTCTTGCTATGCCACACCAGAGATGTAGCATTAGCATCGAGACCGATGAGCAGCGGCATCCTATCAGCACCCAACACAGCTCTTCGTAGATGCATGATGTCAGTCGCCATGTCGCCTCCGTACTGGCAGTAAAGGCTAGCTAAAAGTAAGTTAAAACCATCCTTTGTTACATTGATCACACATTGATATTTACTTGACAGTTTACTTTTTAAAACAAGATCACACACACTTTTTCTTACCGCGATAGCCGCTTTAGGCCAGTCACCGGCGCAATATACATTAAGTCCGCTACCTAGTCCACAGACCAGACCATGAGCCACGTATGGCTCCTGCAGCAAATAAACGTTTATTATGTCCTCACTAAATCTACTTTCAATGTCTGCCATAACACTTAGCGACCTTTGACTGTTATACTGCATAAGCCTCAACCGCATACTTCGTCAGAATATTTTATTTTCCTCCTTTCAATTTCGAGGCGCTTCTTATAAAGAGGACATTCGGCATCAGTGGCAGCGTGTGACCCATTTTCCAAATTGCTGTATCGGGCACAATTTGGGCATTTTTTATTGTCGGCTTGGCATTCGCTGAGAGGGTGATCCCCGGCACATTTCGGACATTTTACTTTGTGTTCAGCGCAGTATTTTTGCACATGTCCAAACTGCGCACATCTATGACAGACTGCCACTCTCAGTCTCTCTTCCACGTAGACGGCCAGCAAGTCCAAGATAGTTTTGCTTCCATGTGCTTCGATGGCTTTAAAAATCGACGGCATTACCTGCATCAGTATATTTTACTTATTTTTGTTTCTGCATTGCCTACGTGACAGCACTTTAAGTCCAGCCTTCCAACCATCTGGCCCAACTGTATTCGCAAGGAAGGGATTTTGACTGTATATTTCGATCAGCAATTCAGGATCCGTGTATCCCTTTTCAACGCCACTCATCTGTATGACCGGTTCCACATTTTTAACCTCTCGGTATTCGATCCTAGTGTCTTTTTTCAAAAGCTCACCAATTCTGCGTCGTTGCACATCATTGTACGACTCGATTAGCACACCACCCCTCTTCAGAGGGATGATGGCTTTGGCAGGCCCACGCATGTCATCTACGCTTAGGGTTTCCTTCAGCACTGATTTAATCCATGTTCGTCCAGGACATCCCCTGCCAGGACAAAACAAAATGTCTCTGCGTCTTCATTGACAAACAGTTTACTAATCGGGAGACGCAGCAAGATGCCGAGCAAGAACAAACTTTTTCTCTATCGAACAATCATTCGCCCCACCATTTCTTATGCCTCAGTAGCCTGGAGCTACGAGCCTTCCAAAACCCAATTTCATCGTCTGGAAGTCCTAGACACAAAAATTCTCCGACAAATTTTCAAGGTCGCCTGGTTCGTCAGAAACAACCAGATTCTTCGGGACGCAAACATTCCGAAGTTAAAGCAATTTCTGCACGAAGTTCGACAGCTTCTCTGTGACCACTTAGAAGTCAGGACCCAGGTGAAAAGGACGAAGTTTTGGTACCTCAGTAGAAAATGGAGAGGTTTTAAGGTGGCAAGCAATTTATTGCAATCCCCCAGTACCCCGTGCCGAGAACCAACATGATGGTCTGCCCAAGGCATTTCCCCTCCCAGACAAAAAAATTGCTTCAATATAATTTTGTCTTCGTCGTGCTCCACAGCAACAACCACCGAAGCCCAGAATGTTCTCCAAAGCTAAGCGATTTGATTATCCTGAACCAGCACCAAAAAGTAATTCATTTCATTATTTTAGTAAATTTTATTTTGTCTTTCTTCAACTAACTTAGTTTGTCTTACAGCACCCGTATGTCAGCGGCATCCTCACGATATTATCCACCAAACCCATCTTCATTGGAGCCACCACGTGCCACGATTTTTGTTAATGCTTCATGGTGATCGCCTTTTAATTCTGACGGATGTTTGGTCCTTGCCACAACGATTCCACATTGTTTATTAGAACAAAAATAAGAGCAACTTAGAATGCTACTACCTTTTTTCAAGAAATGTTGAAAATGTCTTTGCCTAGCAATACAGGCTTCAGAACGTCGCAACATGTTTGTTGATAGGTAAAAAAACACCGGGAGTTCCACGAACAGTAGCAGCTACCACTTCCACTTGTTGTTGAACCTCTTCGATAGTTTCTGGACACTGTTGATTTCCAGAAACTAACTGTTTTATCCAACCGATACCGGCCCACATATTTGTGGAAAGCCGTCGTTGAAAATGTCGGGCAGTTCTTCGACGCGTTCCAAAATTTGTTCTTCAGCTTGCAAGATTCTTTTTATCCTATCACGGCCACGATCGTGAGATGGACGTTGAAGGTACCATGATCTCGGAGATGCTGTACCACTAATGCAAATGTTCGCGCACACGAAATCTCACGATTTGGAAAGCACTCGATCCACAATTCGGGGGCCAACCTAGCGTTTCTGTCAAGTAACTGATACATGACTGGCCCTTTTCGTGTATTTGCACGTTTCTTATCAGTCACTTTTTTGGTTCTTAATCCGAGTCGTTCTGTGCCATTCATTGAAAGAAGTAGGTCAAGGAATACTACCAGCGGCGTGTATAACAATTTATATTTAATTTCAAATAATTTTTTCTAGACATTGCTACCATTTAAGAACGTGAACTTTACAAAGTGCAAAAATGTTATTGTGAGCTATTCCCTATTTTTTTATTGCACATATTTAGAAATCAGGCTGTATTGTTTGATTTATAATCTACGTTGAAACTTAAGGAAATTAATTTCTTACTGGTTCTATAGGTAAGCGGAGAAAAATGTTGTTACCTCGGTGGGAATCGAACCCACGCCTCTCGCTTTCCGGGCAAGCATCCAGACCGCTAGACCATGAGGCGACTTATCTTTCTTCGCTTACCGACGTGTTATTCTGCCGCCACAGTTCTAGGTCTTAAGATATAAAAATGTGTAATTTTAGTGACCATCATTAGAAAATTCTAAAACCATACCGGGCATACTTCATGGTTTGGAATTACAGTTTTTTTTTTAATACAAATTTTAGTAATTTTACATAAAGATTTAATTTATTTCATTATCGATATTTTTCTAAAGTGAAAGTAGTGTAGTCTCTATCTACCTCTAGTACTAGCTGTTGCAATATTTATTTAGTCGTACTTATTTTCGTGCTTTGTTCTAGGTGACCGAATTAGCAGATAGCAAAAATAGACCATCAAGTGCTCAAAATAGAAAAAGGAAACTGCAGAAAGAAGAAAAAATAAAAAAGCTGAGTAGACCGATTAGAACTTTTTTCGACCCGGTAAGTTCGTTTTAATAAATACACGACAGTATGACTTTTGAACAATTTTAAGTGATTTTACTTTAATGCCTAGTGATAATATAGTGATGAATAATAATCGATCCATGGCTTTTCTCTTTCAGGTACTTCTTTATCAACATCAGTTGGGCATTTAGAGGAAATAACGGCTTTAGATACCTCGCTTATTTTAGAAGGCAGTGAAGTCACTACCCATAGCAATCCCTCGGCGACTCCACCAGAATCAACCTCGACGTTTGATATTTCATCAAAATCAACAGTAGATAATATGTATTTTAAATCAAATAAGTTATAAATACTGCTGTGGCATTTGTAAATATTTACTTCCTACTTTATTAGATAAATTACACATTGTACTTTTTTTATACAATATTATAATAATAATAAATAATAATATTTCTATATGATAAATAAATAAAAAGTATATTTTATAATAAACAACAATTGACAATACATGGATATTTACTTTAAATAACCCAGTCGTCATCACTTTGTCAAAAAATACAAATGCACCATATTTTTGGTTTTTATTATTTTTTAAGAGAAAATTAATGACTTGGCCGAGTATACGTGTTTAATTTATGTAAATTGACAACGCAGAGTTAAAACTAAATGTAATCACTCTTACCAAAATATCAAAATTATGAAATTTTCTTTCATAATGGTATACTTATCAAAAAAAAAAGCACCATTTTTACAGTTATTCCAGAAAATGCTTTCTATTCACTTTTTTCCTCGTTCAATTTTGAAAATTTTCACAAAATATTTATAATTTAATGTCTTGGGCAAACCGAATCTCTACAAGTACTCGTAATAACCTCCTTTGGCTATTCATCTAGTATAGTTTTAGATGTCTGTATCGAATTGGAACCGGAAATCAAATTGTTATAAATTCATTTAAAGTTTAATCTAGTCCGTACTTCCGAGCTGAAGCTAAGAAAACGTTGTAATAGGATCCATCTAATCCAAGACAAAACCATAAAATTACTATGTCCATTTCTAATTGGCTGAAAGTTTTAAGAAGATTCGTATAAATTGTGACAATACACACGCACTAGGGTTGCCTTTGAGTATATTGATAATATGTCAGGAAAGGGGGCTCCTTTCTGGAGCAAATTCCATATATCCGCTTAATTTATGCCATGAAAGCATCTAATTTACTCCAACTTTGTAGAGCTCGTAAAATAGTATGGAAATACATAGCTTTGCTTTAAAAATCTACACTGGATAAGTAGGCAACCCACATAACAATATTATTTTTATTGTATTGTACTCTAGGGGCGAGGCAAGTTCTGTATAAATGAGTAATTAAGTATACTTGGGCATGATTAAGCCAAATTTAAATAATTTTTACACAATTAATACAGGTAGTGCAATCTAACAAAAGTGAAATATTTTTAAATAGTTTGGATTAACTAAATTTACTAAATACTCTATAAAAAAAGAAATGACAAGTTACCACTTACTTCAAAAGCATTTAAGTTTAGCAACGAATTTAAAGTGAATTTAACGCAAAATATCTTGTCTATTTACTCCTCGATGATAATGTATGTATTTTGGGTTGCAGTTTAAGATTCGAGAAATTTATTATCTTTCATTTTGAATACTTGTCAAACCTTAATTATTCTATTATACTTTCCAAACAAAGTCAGTTATCGAAAAATCGTTTTTAATTTTGGTAATGATAAAAAACTGAAAAAAAAAACATTGTCACGTATTCCTTGTTAATGACGTATTTTGTGTTGCAGCTTTAAATTCGTCGTTTAAGCCGATAAATAATAATAGGTATATTGAATATACTAGTCGCTTTGGATATGCCAAAATTTTGTCACGACATTTAGACTATGAATACACTGATTATTATTATTACTCGAAACGATATTTAATAATGCCTGTAACCGGAGCTCACCAATTTGTCAATCAAAATAACGTTTTTACTTCTCAAGCGAAAGTTAAGGAAGTATTGTACTCAGGTCGAACGAATGGCCACTTTCATGTTTTCGAGACATTTTATGACCTTACAGTATGAAAATTTGTTTCTCGTTTCTATCTGTCTGTCTGCTGTTCAGGACCAATTATAATGAAATTTGATGTGTACTTTAAGAAGATCGTGTATATGGTGAAACCCTACGCACCACCAAGAATGTAATGGCATCACATCCAAATTTTACAATAGTAAATGTTAATTAAATGTTATAAAATACATTTTACAATTTAAATTTGAAATTGCAAAACAGAATGGTATGAAATTTTGCAAACGTTTTAAAATTGTCGGAAGAATGATAAATCGTTAATAAAAATTTATCTGGTTATGAAAATTGGATACTCTTGTTTCTTCAAAGGAAAAGATGAATTTTAGAACACGTAATTTACTACAAATATTTCCAAGTTTGTTATATTTTTAATGTAATTAAATATTTAATAATAATAATAATAATAATTTTATTTCCAGAGAGACAAATACATTTGTATGGAAATCGTCAGTATAGAAAATAAAACAAAAGAGAATACATTTACCAAGATAAATCAAACCAAGAATTCATTCACTGTATACAAACACTTCTTAACTAAATAATATTTTAGCTTATTTTTAAAGAGCCGCAAATTTGTAGTAGCTGTAATTTCCATAGGTAACCTATTATACATTTCTAAACCTGATACAAACAAACAATTTTTACAAATGGTTTTTTTTTTAATGGAACATGAAACAGATTTTTTTGTCTTGTACATATTTTTGTCATTAATTTCATAATTGTTGATGAATTTATCCCGACTTTTATGTACATATGTGCAACACTCATAAACATACAATGACGGTAAAGTTAGAATTCCTAATTCAGTAAAGTATACCTTACATGATTGTCTCTGTGATACCCCTACCATAACTCTCACAATTCTTTTTTGCAACAGAAAAACCTTTTGTAATGATGATGATAAGCCCCAGATACATATCCCGTACCTGAGCTGAGACTCTACTTGAGCATAATAAATCATTAGTAAATGCCCTATATCGAATACACTTCGGATATTACGGATTAAAAAACATGTCTTAGATAATTTATTTGTTAATTTTTCACATTGCGTGTACCAGCACATGTTATCATCTATAGCTAGACCTAAAAAATTAACATTGTCATCTCTCGATATGTTGTTATTATTCAGCGACAAGGTTATATTATCTAGGTCAAACTGTATATTTTTTAGGTGAAACCGGAGATATTTGGTTTTATTTTGGTTGAAATATAAAGAATTTGCCCTAAACCAGTTTAACACCGTGTCTGTAGCTTCATTACAGATACGCTGCATTTTTGTTGGGTCTTTGTCTGAGATGAGTAACGTTGTATCATCCGCGTATAAGTTAAGACGAGTATCAGGACCAACATTCTTAAATAAATCATTGATATATAGCACAAACAAAATTGGCCCGAGAACAGACCCTTGAGGTACTCCCATTGTAGTAGTTAAAGTGTCTGAATTTACATTATATACAGAGTTCTTTTCAACATTTAAATACTTTATCGAGACGTACTGAGAGCGCTCATCCAGAAATGACTGTAGCCATTCCTGAGCCACTCCGCGGATACCATAATGCCCTATCTTTTCCATTAATTTTCCATGATTAATGCAATCGAAAGCTTTGCTCAAATCACAAAAAAGAGCAATAGGATGCTCGTCATTATTTATTCTATTTAAAAGAGTTTCATAAAAGTGACTTACTGCATCAAGCATGGATAAATTTGGTCAGAAACCATACTGATTTTTATTTAGAATGTCATTTATATCTATATAAGTTTGCAATCTGGATAGAAAACAGTACTCAAAAATTTTTGAAAAGCTAGAATTAAGTGTTATTAGTCTGTAGTTAGTTATTAGCATCATAGGTTTCACCTTTTTTGTGAATTGGAACAACTTTACTCAGCTTTAGTTTTTGTGGAAAGCACCCGGTTTCAAAGGATAGATTAATTAAAAATGTTAATTCATCCGCCACGTATGCAATAACTCGCTTTATCAGATATGTCGGTACATCATCAGAGCCTGAGGATTTTTTGGATTTGAGTTTATTGATTAAGAGACTTATTAATTCATCTGTTGTAAATGGCATTAAGAACATGCTATTATGATACTGTTGTTGAAAGGGTAAGTCTGTGGCATTTGCAATTTGGTTCACCACCTTCTTAGGTGCATCTCGGAAAAACGTGTTAAATACATTAGCAACCTGATATGAGTCATCCACAGATTCACCTTTAGACCTCAAATTAATATTTGTATGATTAGTGGTTTTGTTAGACATTTGCTTAAACACATCCCAGGCACGTTTCAAGACATTATCCGAACCGTACATTAGCCCTTGATAATACTTCTTTTTAGTCGTACTTATTAACAAATGATGCAATTTCTTTGCATTATCATAGACTGGTTTTAAAATCCTATACTTTTTTTGCAAGTTATACAGATCGCGCAATTTTAAACTTGATAGTCGGACCTCATCATTTATCCATGTTTTACTATTGATATTGCGAACCTTTTTTAATGGGAAATGTTTTTCGAAGTATTGCATAAAAATATTGTGAAAATAATCGAAAGCAGAATTAACATCTTCATATAGCTATGTATAGGCGTCCCCAATCTTCACTACTAATATCGTTTATAAAATTGGCTACGTTGGTTTCATTATAAATTCGTTTTTGAGATACAGGTTTTTTTGTCATACCAGTTGATCTTTTGAAGTAACCATCACAGTACACAACATTCTGGTCAGAGAATGTTACTTCTTCTGTAGTACAGAAATTTGTGTTAGGTATATTAGTGAAAACGTTATCTTGAATATTTTTATATCTAGTGGGAGTTTTGACTTTATCGGTTAAATTATATGTACCTAAAGTGTGTTTTAGATAGTCAAAGCTTCCACGATCTCTTATAGGGTCGACATTAAAATCACCGCATATCACAACATAAGCATTACTCTTATAAAACATATCCAGTACTTCGCAGAGTTTGTTGCAGAAAAGGTTAAAATCGCTACCAGGTGATCTGTGACATGTAAATAAAAAAACCCTGACACCGTTGTCCCAGGTAACACCGCAGATTTCAAAATGTTTATCATGACCATAACTTGATATATTGAGAGCAGTTGCTTGCAGATCCGATCGGCTCCAGATGCTGACTCCGCCACCCTTGAATTCATTTCTGGAGAAAAATGCAGCCAAATTATATCCTGGAAAGTTGAATGTTTCTGCACTTGCTGCTGTACACCAAGTTTCGGTTAGACACAGAAATTTAATATTGTTACTAATAAGTTCTGCAAAAAGGACATCACATTTTGTTGTTGTAAGTGCTTGAATATTGAGCAGCAAAAGGTCATTTGTCATATCCCAAGAAGGACAATTTAGAGCTACGGAGTTTTCAGAGGAAGCAACCTTTTGCGAAAAAACTTATTGATGGTTACACCTTGGGCCAAAATTCCGCGTCCATAACTGTTTCGGTCAGAGATGCAGGAATTGTAATTTTAAATGAGTAGATTTCTGGCTTTTTTGCATTAAGTTTTTCACATGTAACATCATTGGTTGTATTTGAAAGATACTCGACCACCTTATCTATAGTCGTACTCGGGTGTAATCTGGTAATATGAAAAGTGGCTACACGTGCTTTGGGAACACTAGTTAAGGATGTTTTGGACGAATTTCCCACTATAGGCTGTGAATTCACTTTATTAAACGTTGTTACCTTTTCATGTTGATTATCTTGCTTTTTAGGACTCCGTCTACGTTTTTTTGTGTGTTACTAGAACAAAATCATTGTCATCTGGGGTGTTTTTACCAAGCGTTGTCTTTTCGACGTTATCGTTGTGTTTAATTTCAAAATTAGTGAGATTTATCAATTTATTCATCACATTCACTTGTTCATCGTGAATCAGTTGATAATTATTTGCCTTGTTTGAATCTGGTATAAATATTTACGACGGATGTTTTTGTGGTATTACTTTGTGCAGACCTGTTATCAGAAATTGTCGGTGATGTTGATGTCAATAGATTCTTTCGAGATATTTCGGATTTAATAATATTCAGTTCCGCTAATAGTGTGTTAAAGCCAGCGTTGATCTCATCTTTTGTTGCGAAAAGTTTAGTACGTTGATTCTGTTTTTCCGCAGTGGCTCTCAAATAAGTGATCTCCAACCTTGATTCTTCCAGTTTATTTTCTAAGACAGAAATTGTTGCTCGCAACTCCAAAATGGTATTTTTCAGGACTTTATTTTGGAAAACATCAGGTGAGTCGCCATATTGTGTATTTTCTTGATCCTCCGTATCATCTACACCTGTATGTAATAGTATATTTCGTCACAAGTATCGAAAGTAACAAATAATATCAAGCGAGTGTTTATAATAGATATAAAAGTGCGGAGCGTAGCACGAGTAGATCTATTAAACACGAGCGCAGATATTTATTAATTTCGAACGCCTTACGAACACTATTTTTTAGACGACTGTAGCATAATAAAAATTTTGAACGAACGACTGAAAATTGAAATTATTAACAAATTTAAATTAGCGTATTCTGCAACCTTCAAAACAAGAAGGCAGTTTCTTTTGCCGCCTCCAATACTGCAGACGGCGTACAAGCGATTTCTTCACTATCACTCATTTGCATTGTGGCCATAAAAACTGTGGCATAAAAAACTGTCAAAGAAATGTCAAAGCACAGACGTTGCTAATAGTCGGAGAGCCCATGACACATGTTTCAGGAAGTGTTTGATGCACTTTGTAATTTTACCAGGACCTGGTGGTTCAGATAGTATATACGAGTAAATAATGAACGGTCTGCCTGACCTACCGTGAGACACCAGGTACTGCGCATAGGAGAAAGGTGAGAAAAAAATGTTGCAAAAAAATTTCTATTCATATTATTCATCAGCGAACAAGGACATTTCAATAATTGAGTTGGTTTATATTCAAAAAATAAAAAAACAACAAAGGCCGACACTTTGGAGGGGTTAACTTCGAAGCAAACCACCCCAAAGTTGAATTTTTAAAAATAAAAAAAAAGTGTTTAATTCACGCTGAAAATTTAATAGCGTGTTAATTAACAACTTTGGGGTGGTTTGCTTCTAACTTACCCCCCTCCAAATTGTCGGCCTTTTTACAAATATTTTTTAATATGTAGAATTAACACGCTATTAAATTTTCAGCATGAATCAAACACTTTTTTTTTTGATTTTTAAAATACAAGTTAGGGGTGGTTTGCTTCGAAATTAACCCTCTCCAAACTGTCGGACTATTTGTACGTATTTTTATTTCCCGAGCTAAGGAAGTATAGTAATCGAGTCCATCGGACCAAATGCCACATTTATGTTTTCTCGATGTTTCATGACCCCTACAGTATGAAAAAAGTAGTCTCCCGTTTCCGTCTGTCTGTCTGTCTGTCTGTCTGGTATCTGTATCCATTTTTATTAGACAAATAATCTCCGAAACTGCTGGACCGATTCTTGTTAAATTTTATAAGTAGAAATATCATGTAGATGATTAAATGATAACCAAAATTTTGATAATTAGCCCATCAACAATTTGATGACGTCATTTCATTGAATTGTATTTTAAAATAATTTTAATGTTATATAAAAATATACTCCTATATTTGTAGTGGCTTTACAATATGGTCCGTTGTTTACCAGGTTGGCCAGGCGAATTGAAGTCGAACTTTTACGTCAAAACTTACCAGAAACTGATCCGCAGATTGTTACCATCAGAAATTTCCAAAAAATACACTTGGCTGATTTCAAATGTGCCATTACGAGATCGGCTTTGGCTGGTATTAAGGAAAAAAAGAAGAATGAAGTTGTCATGCCGAAGGCTGGTGATATAGAAAAATTAACAGCATTTTTAAGGAAGGAGAGCGATTTTCATTACCAAAAACTTAAAAACGGCGGATTTTCTTTTACATCTTGGCGAGATTTGGGCAAGAGCCTTTTATGCCAAATTTTGGTGTTCAATAGGAGACGCGTGGGGGAAATTTCTCGTATTTTACTGGCAGATTATTTGGGGAAAAAAAATATCGAAGAAGAAGATCGCAAACACATGACACGTCTTCAGCTTGTGTTGGCAAAATATTATGCAATAATGCATATATCAGCGAAAAGAGGAAGAATCGTTCCGGTTATGTTGAGGCCGTATATCGTCACGTGAGTATATGATCATTATTTGAACATAATTTGGGCATTTTTGCTGTAGAAAATATTGTAATTGTTCAGTACATTTGACGAATAGATGATTTCATATTCCTAAAATACGCATACAATTTGACGACAATCGGTCCAATAGTTTCATAAAATGCTCCTGTATCTATGATTTGTTAATCCAACATTATTCCTAAGTTAAATGCAAGTTTTTGATAAAAATCAAAATTTAATAAAATATGTAAGAAGTACTATCTAAACCCGTTGGACTTATTTTTGTAACAGCCTTAGTATGTTTTTAAACCACTTTTTCTTCTCTTGCAGTCAAATGGATATGTTCATTGAAATGCGGATCTTGGCTGGTGTAGATTCCAGTAACAAATATTTATTTGGATATCCCAATGCTGATGGTCATTTAGACGCTTCAGTAGTACTAAGAGAATATTCACGTCAGTGTAATGCAGATTTTCCTGGTTCACTGCGAAGCACGAAACTGAGACAACAAGTTGCCACGATGACACAACTTCTAAATTTGAACCAAAATGAACTCCACCAACTGTCCGATTTTATGGGTCACGACTTCAGCGTTCACTTAAAACATTATAGAATGAATGAAATAAATTCACAAATAACTCGGTGGTCAAGGTTTTTTTCAGCTGTAGGACGTACGGATGTATATAGACATCGAAATAAAAGCCTTGACCAATTAGAAACTTATATTTCTGATAACGAAACAGAGGAAAATAATGAGTCAGATCCTGACGAAGCTGTCGAAAATCATGTAGGTCCTGAAGAAGAATTTGACCAAGTTAAGCAAGATACGAATTCTAAAAATTATGAAGCAAAGTCTAAGCACGTTTTTGTTTATAGTTTTCATTTATAACAACAAACTGAATATTTTTTTCATAAGTAATTAAATTTAATTTTCATATATTTCATATAAACTGCGCGTCAAAAGTTAAGGATACCTGTCTTATCCTTAACTTATTAGTTTTTTGATAATTTTCGAAACAATTCTAACTTGTGACGCATAATTTATTACATGTTTTTTTTACATTAATTGTACATAATTACATTTGATACTTTTTCTAATAAACATATTTTCAAATTGTTTTAGCGCCACGAAAAATAATAATAATAATAATAATAATAATAATAAATTTTATTCAGCCATCAAGGTCGTGAATATACGACATCGGCATTGTCACAACATACAAAGAGTTAAAAGTGTCAATAGTGTCATACAAATATATACACATACATACAATTTTACAGTACAATATAGACGTTAACATCGATTCAGTACCTCATCAAAGCTATAATACTCTTTATCTATTAAATATTTTTTTAGTTCCCATTTGAATTTATTTGTTTCGCGTATATTTATTATAGTTGATGGCAAAGAATTATATGCGAGAATTGCTCTATAATGTGGGCCTTTTTCAAAGCAACGGGTTTTATGTTTGGGCACGCTAAGATAAGCATTACCTCTTGTAGTCATCCGAGAGTAAAGATCCCTGTTTTTTTCAAAACTGGTTTCATTAGATCTTACATACATTATTAATTTAAACATATAGAGGGAGGTTACTGTCATTATGCCAAGTTTTTTAAAAAAAGATCTACATGATTCTTTACTTGGTAAATCAAGTATAATTCTTAAAAATCTCTTCTGGGTTATAAAGACTTTGTTCCACTCAGACGATATGTACCAGAAAACAATGCCATAAGAAATAATGGACTGTACGTAAGCGTAGTAGAATTGCATAAGACTTGCAATGGGTAATTCTTCTTTTAGAACACGTACTACATAGCATGCTGTATTTATCTGACTTATTATATTTTTAATGTGTTCCGAAAATTGCAGTTTGTAATCTATGACAATTCCTAGGAATTTTATTTCACTAGATTGCTGAATTTGCATATTATTTATAAATATGTTTTCAAAATTTTTAAAGAATAGCAATCCTGTTTTATCCACATTTAATTTTAGACAATTCTGCTTGCAGTATGTAATCATTTTGTTAATGACCGTAACTATGTTTTCAGAAAGCATATTAAGACTATGACTGCACACCATACACGAAGTATCGTCAGCAAATTGATAAACGTGCTTAATGTCCACGTGTTCATGTAGATCATTTACATACAGAAGGAACAATGTAGGGCCAAGAATTGATCCTTGCGGTACCCCTTGCATGATATGACTAATATACGACTTTTTAGTTGTTAAAATATTGTTAATAGTAGTCGTTACATAAACTCGTTGAGTTCTGCCAGTTAAATATGATGCTATTAATTTATTTACTTGCCCCCTAAGACCATATTTCTCTATTTTATTTAACAGGATGTCGTGTTTAATTGTATCAAATGCCTTTGACAAATCGAAGTAGACACCGGCACATTTTTGATGATCGTCAAGAGAATTCAGTAATGAGTCCATAAAATTAAATAAAGCAGTTTCGGTGTTACGATTAGGTACAAAACCATGGTGTGTTTGAGAAATGATAGCGTTACGTTGAAGGAAATTAATTAATCTATGATATATAATTTTTTCAAAAATTTTTGAGATTGATGACAGAAGAGATATTGGCCTATAGTTGTTAATATTTTCTTTACTGCCTTTTTTGTGAATAGGGATAACTTTGGCTTCTTTTAACTCATTTGGAAAGTAGCCATCTAAAAAGCATTGATTAAGTATTTGAGTTAGGGGTTCACTTATAAGATTGTTGACGCTTTTTATTACGGTTATAGGAATTTCATCAATCCCACTTGAATATTTATTTGGTAACGTGGTTATCAATTTTTTTACTTCGTCTACTGTCACCGGCATAAGGTACATGCTATTATTGACATATTTGTTACTAACTGAATGATTATTAATATTGGAACTACTAGAGTTACTGTCCCTAGTCGGTTGGAATACTTTCATAAACCTATTGGCTAATTCTGATGGATCAGAAATTGGGACATTGTTATCTTTGATTGAATATTGGTGCTTACGATACCCCCGCTGTGTGATACTCTTAAAAATAGCAAACGTTCTTTTTGATTTATTTGTGGAACCATTAATTAATCTATAATTTTCATCTTGTTTTACTTTTTTTAAAAAATTCTTAAAGTCTTTTTTTCCTGTTTAAGTTTTTGGAGCAGTTGTGGTGATTTATTTTTTATAAATAACACATGCAGCAGCGTCAACGAAGCCTACTCCACGTAAATCGCCGACTTCGAAAGATTTGTTGTTGAAGCTTTCTGACCCAGATGAACACATAAGAACGAGAAGAAGTTTTGGACGAACGAGGTGGAGTAATGAAGAACAGAAAATCATGCGGGATGTCTTTAAAGAGGAATTGTCGAGGAAAACAAGACCAACACTGAAAAAATGTCATCAAATTTTTAAACAGTTTAAAGAAACTTTCAATAATCGTCGACCCCTCTCTTTAGATATGTGGGTGCAGAATGAAAATCGTCGAAATTCTGCAACACAATGATTTCGAGGGCTTGTAACTTTTTTTATGTTTGTTTTTTCCTATGTTAACTAGTTTAAATCAATTCATGTAATCTCAATGTAAATTCCCGAATGTAATAAATGTTTAAACAAATTATCGTACCTATTTTAATTTTCCGAGAAGGCTCAATTTAGGTTTAGCGACGTTTCATTATTCGTAAAACAGGAAAGAGTATTTCTCATGTTTCAGTTGTTAATTAAATTTTTTTCTTCATCCATTCCGAAAATATTCTACTATTCTTGTGGTTTGCAGATCCATCCTTGTCACCTCTATTCATTTTTATTTTTTAAACAAATTCAAAAGTATCCAATATAATATTAGTATTTTAAAAACTATAAAATGGTGGTTCGATGTTCTATGAAGATATTTGAAGTTATATTCATAAGTATATTCCAATAATTTAGTAAGCGTATTCCCAAATCTTTCAACATCTCTGCGTACATATTTAACTCTTCCAGTGACAGTAGCCGAAGGCTAAATACCAATTTCTAAGCTGAAGTTAATAAATGAATTATCTGCGGCGAACCATGATCATATATTAACCAGCCTGGCCATTATAAGTATTCAAAAAGAAATAGATTTTAAAATAGCCAAAATAATTTAAAAAATGCAATTTCAAAACGAGAAAAATTGACTTTGATACATAAAATAGCACAGGAAGATAGGATAGTTTTAAGTTTAATCATTTTAACTTTTATGAAGTAAGTTCTTGATCTACTGTGGTTCTTGTGATGTTTTTTTTTTGGAATGATTTATAACTTTATGTTAATTTTAAAATATTTTATTTTATTTTTTTGTTTCTTATTATCTAAATGTAACTCTGTACATTGTATAATTGCAATAAGATTGTATGTACTGACTGTCGTCATTTGAACTTCCTAGCCATATTCTAATGGTTAACGGCTTCTAAGTTGCCTACCCGTGATATTAGATTCTACTGTGGGGCTTTAAACTCTGTAAAAAAAACAGAGTTGATTGAATTTTTACAATGGCGCTGGACATGTACGGATGAAGGCCCTGTTTATTCAGGTTTCGCCAGACAACAAACGGCAAAACTCCTGTCTTCTACAAAGTTTAGAATATCCGACTCAACATCCAGAACAGCTGTACGACCACGGAGTCTAGTGCTTGGACAAAATTCTTCTTTTCTCCAAGACGGTTGTGATAACCCAAACATCCCGGTTTAAATTGACTATGATTGTCTAACAAAATGGAACCCTACGTTGTGTTTTTGAAAAATGGCGGGATGCGTTCAGATGCAAATGGTGGACCCCAAGGTTGGAAAAGAAGAAAGAACTGAGCCAGTAACTAGAATACAAAATGAGAGCATAGAAGACGAAGCACCAACCCTAATAGAAATCGAAAATATCATCAACAGTGGCGGCTGGTGGGTCAAAATTTCGGGTCGGCCTAATATTTTGAGTCTACACCTTAGTGTTATATATTTTCGTAATGTATGGCCGCTACTCGTTAACCACTGACATTTTACGTGCCAGGATGTACAAAACAAATGTATTAAATCAACAATTATTATTAAAAAAAAAAATAGTATGAACTGAAGAACATCGAAGCCGTTATTGTTTTGCAATTTTGTTAGCTATCTATATTAAGCGTTTTAAAAACTAAATTCGCATTGCTGGGTACGGCGAAGAAGGATCTCGCCGGACCTGGCGCAACATAAGTTCCGCCAGGTCTTTGTATACTAAGTGTACTTCAGACCGTTGGATCTCATGTCCAATTGGCCCCATGGGGTAGTACCTGGTATGTGAAGTGTCCATGAGGAGTGTCTATACGTTCCTGATTATAAGTAAGCCTACATAAAAGGTAAGTATAAGCCTTATTAAAAGTTACCCATAAAGACGTTAGGTATATATAAAGAGATGACACAAAGATAATTTAATTAGGAGTTAGGATAGTCCAGTCGATCATTGACAAAAATTTGAAAATTTAGACTTGAGAGATTAATTTATAGATGTATTAGGATATTAGAATACATTAGTAGACTCAGTATTATCAATAAATTAGGGGTTTTCAATATGGAGTGGTAAATAGTAAGATAAGAATGTACGAGGCTCTGGTAAGTATACTGTATTTAGGATGTTAAATAAGAAATAAATGCTTATGAAGTGAAGGAAATAGGATAATAGATATATATAAAAATATAACTATTATATAATGGGATATAACTATCTTATAGTTACTATTAAACGAGCAAAGTTTGTGTATATATATACAGGGTGTTATTGAAAGGTACGTACAACAAAATGGACAGTTCTTCGCGAAGTCGTAAGAAGTCGGAAAAACTTATTTTGTGTTATCAAAATTATAAGGGGAAAATTAACCCTTATCCAATCTTTTTAGACGCTACTGAAGGATAAATAGGTAAAATTAATTTATTTCAGTAAATCCTAGCAACTGTAACAATGAAATTTTCATCAAGACGAAATATTGCTATAGAAACGAAAGATGATCTTTTTATCAGAGGCGTACAACGAATTTGGACATAAATTTTAATATTTTTTATCTCTAAAAGGAGGACACTTTTACTTGAACTTTTTTTAACTTTTAGCACCCATACTTCGAGACCAATTGCCGATTTTATTTTGTACGTACCTTTCAATAACAGGCTGTATATATAATGGGTTTCTCGAAAACGGCTCTAACGATTTCGATGAAATTTACAGATTGGGGTTTTTTTGGGTCAAGAAATCGATTCATCATAGTTTTAACTTCTGAAAATTACAGCTTCATACATTTTCAGCAATTTTCAGGCAGTGAATTATATTTGTTGCTAGGCAACATCAGATGACACTACACGAACACGAGATTGTTTTAGACTATGATTTTAGAGAAGTTTGGGTGACAGTACGTTTGACGTACCTTTTTATCTTCAACTGTACGTACCGAAACATACTCCACTGTATATAGGACGTTAAAATTCACCTTTAGAGGTGAGAAAATTTACGGAAAACTAAACAGCGGATAAAAGGCACACGGAAGTGCGTTGAAATGACGTTACGTTGTCAAGCATTAATTTCGGAGGCTTCGACGGTCGGAATGATCGTTTTCAGGGTTGGGACCGTGTTATTTGAGCTTTTGGGCTCAACGTTTCGCACATTTTCGTAAGTGGCATCTTCATGAGAAGAGTTGAGAAATAAGGAATAGGGCAAAAGAGCACGGTAACTCAGTATCTTAACTATACCAAAGGGAAACTCTTCTGGCAGTAAGAATCAGTAAAAATGTGGTGAAGAAAAAAGACAACGACACACAAAGATAACTTGGGTAATAAATGACATTGTAATAAATATCAAACAATAATTCCAGTTTTCTATTCTTGAATCTCTACATGCCACTCAACAGTGTTTAAAACAAAGACTGCTTACGGAATTTCTTTTTTAATGTGTATTTTTAATTAGTGCGGGTACTTCAAAACGCATACTATAGATACGCCTATTTATCTGTCCTAATCTGATCTAATACTACCAAACGAGCCGAGTGAAGCTCGGTCAACCAGATATTGATGAATTAAGGGATATTAAGAGTTTGACAATTTGTTCAACTTGTATATAGTTGAATAAGGATGCATGTGAAATACGGGAGATTTTGAGATTTATAATAAGATGTAAAA